TAATAGGGCATGAGAAACAGTCTCAGGTAGACAGATCTCAAATGCTCCTCTTCTGCATATTCTAGGAAAATTAAACATGTAATGTACTGACTGAGACGTGAGCCCATTTGACAAACTCAAAATGGAACTTGAAATATTAAAAGATAGAAGTATGCATTGAAATAATTAAATGGGATTAAATAAAAGCTGCCAGATAATTCCAATGGTAACTAATAATCATAAGAAGAGTAGACATTTAATATTTAATGCCTAAGATAAAATGGAAGGGGGAAAAGAAGTGAAAATAAAACTATTAATTCCTCATTTTACATGAGGTTCATTTGATAACTATTATTTTATTCTACATACTTAATAAAAATATTTAAATATTTCTATTCTGAAAAATAATAAAGGCAGCCAGTAGTAACTTAAAAAAATAAAAGGTCTATCATCAAAATCATGAGAGGAAATGGTAAAGGCAAAATTTCAGGAGTCACAAAAATTTCAATAAAACAGAAATAGGAAAATGTAAAACAAGGTAGCAAGAGAAGAACAAGTACATCTGGATATAACTGGTCTTTTATTAAAAATATACTCAGATTTATTTACACAAATTGCATTTGGTATTTATTGTTTACAGAAAGCACATGTAAAATAATATAGCATAAAAACAGTTCAAATATCAACAATGTGAAAATGGATGACTAAATTCAAATTTGAACTGTAGTAAGTTATAAGTACATGATGAAATTACAACCAATGAAATTATGTTTTAATATAATAAAATAGAAATGTGTTCATAATGTTTAAGAATCAATTTTATATGAAAATGTAAATCAGAAGGAAATATACCAAAGATTAACATTAGTGGTTATACTATGAATTATTTTCATTTTTCTCTCTGTATATTTTTGCATCTTGTGATTTTAATTAAGAAAAAATTACAGAAAAACAAAAACTGGAATAAATGAAAAGAAGTATCAGTCTGCTGGAACAGAATACAAACTAAAGATGTCAATTACTTCAAAGTTAATTAGATACTTAATACAACTGATCAAAATGATTTCAAAGAAAGTTCAAAAAATATACATACAATATAATAAAATACTGACAATTAAAAAGTGAATTATATAAAATTATCGATGCTGATTCTCTTACCCCAGTGAGCAAATTTACTTTTGTAAACTGTTAAAAATAAGATTATTGCATTGTTTAATTATAGCAAAATGATAGAATCAGTTATGGCTTTTATTTTCTCTTTCTATAAAGGTACACAAAGCATAGATTGTTCCTCAAAACAGAAGAAAAAATAGTCTTTTCAAATTGTCCTCCAAAATCCCTCTTGCTCCACATTAAAAGCCAATCAACACCCAATACTCCTTCCTTCAATTTAAACGTTTCTTGTATAGAGTCTTTGGAGGCAGTGGAGTAAAGCTACAGTTTCAAACAACAGGTGATCTAAAATGTCATCTTTTCTGAAAGAGCTAAAATGGGTTACCAAAATTCAGGCTTCCCATGAATTGCTTAGATTTCTGTGAAAATGTTAGTTTCTATTTCTGACTCAGTTTTGACAGAGAAAGAACATGAACTTTTTCAGGAGAAGACTATGTGTTTTTTAATAAGAACAAAATAAATAACTAAAAGGAAGAAATTACTGTATTTCTTCAAAGGATACTCTTGTGAAAAATGACAGAACATATGCTTCACTAGAAATTCTAATTATGTACTTCTTTTTAAGATGATAATCTAATTTGTTCTTCTGGTCAACTATCCATTTATCTATTAACCCCAGAAATAATCCTGTCTACATTTCTCTTCCCTGTGAATATTTTATACTATTACAACAAAAGTATGACCTCATAAATAATACGCAGCCTTACTCTGTGTCTTCTAATTTCCGTAAGTTTGCAGAGCCGTGAGCATGCGGCCTCTGGCTTGCTTTTTCTCAACTGCTGTCCCCTCCCTTCCGCCTCTCCCCAGCGTGAGCCGTCTCTCCAGTTCTCTGCAGCTGTATGCCCAAACCATGCGGTACACAGACTGCGATAAGCTTACAGATGTTTGCTTAGACATCAATTCTTATATTTAAAGAAGACACATTCCAAGCAAGTTATGTATTTTTTAATACTGGATTAATAATGCCCACTAAAACTGGAGAATCTCTTTCCTCCACTTCTTCAGTAGCACAACAGTGATTCTCCAGGGTTATACCATTATCATCTGATTCCTTCATTACTGCTTCCGAGTTGGAGCATCTTTTCTATGAAACTCCTTACCTGTTCCTTTGTAAAACTGTATGTTGTCATCTCCTTAACAAATTTGTAAAATTTATCCTATCTGATAGATATCAATCCTTCTATATTAACAACCCTTCTATATTACTGCACTTATATTTCTTTTGCAAATTGACTGGAAATGATCATAATAATTTGCCATTTTTTTTAATTTATATAACCAGATATGTCTAGTGTTTATATCCAATTTTGATTATGGAAGTTCCTCACCCCTAGATTTTATATGTACTCTCTTCAGTTTTCTCATGGAAATTCTACTTTCAATTTTTCACACACTTTTACTCCATCATGAAGTGAGGTTTAAAACAAATGTCACTTTATTGTCTTCAAGCCTGACAGGTATCGTTATCAGTATTATTTATTCAATAGTACACTGCTGTAATGAATCCAAATATTTCTGTCTTCTATTGTTCTTTTATTTAGTGGGTTCTATTTCTGGATGCTGTCCTCCAAAATCTACCTGCCTGTTCTTAATGTCAATGCCATACTGATCTATTATAGTGATTTTATAATATGACCTGACATCTGAAAAGGTGAGTTTGCTGTTACATTTGAATTCAAAAAGATTTTTGTCACCTCTCAAAATCCATATACACTTAGGAATATTTGTATAATTTTAGATACTTTTGAGAATGGAGTAGTCTTTCCTATTACCCTTTCTAAATATTTCCATTTGAATGGATCTAAAATTTTTATATAAAAACTATCACATAATCTTATTAATTTTATAAGGGATAAATTAATTTTATGGGATTTTAATTATTCAGTCAAATTATTATAAGAAAATGTTTTAACTTTTTTAAATTAATTTTTCAGACCTTCAAAAATATTTAGTAATGACACTTATAAAGTAAATTCTATTTACATTAAAATTTGACTTACTACTTAATAGTATTTTTCAGCTCTTATGTAAATAATTGCTGTTTGTTTTTGGTTAAGAAGATATTTTACACTTAAATATTTCCTTATACTCTCTTTCAGATTACCCCTGTTAACTCCGAAGTTTTAAATAAGAATAGCAAGCTAATTACTGTCATGATTATCAACCTATCATTGATTGGATCCTTATATGGAACCAGTTGTCTTCCTAAAATATACACAGTTAAGTGATATGTATTGTTCTTCACTGGATTTTAGCCATAAGGCCAAGAAACACTGGTATTATTCTTTTAGCTAAATGATGTGTGAATTAGATATATTAGTGTTTTCTTTTCAATGCCTGTATTTGTTACTTCAGTGAGGTTGGATTTTTTTTTTTATTTCATATTACCTCTGTAATAATTTGTTTTTAAAATATGCTGGATTATAAAATGAACTAAAAGATTTAAAAAGTAAAAAGACAACAAAATAAATTACAATTATATTATTAAACTGCATTCTCACATTAAAATTAAAAGGAAATAACCTGATGTCAAATGGAATGTTTGAGGAGCTCCAAAACCCTTGGGATCTTGTGAACAAAGCCTAATGTACTTGCTTACAATTCCACCAAGTTCATCCCATGCACGAGATTTAGAGTCTGGGACCGAGAGCTTGAAAAGGTTATATAGGGGCTGGGGATTTAGCTCAGCGGCAAAGCGCCTGCCTGGCAAGCGCAAGGTCGTGAGTTCGGTTCCCGGTACCGGAGAAAAACAAAAAC